GGAAGAGCCCAGAATGCTTTTGTACTGTCCTCAGCTGGAAGTGGTGGGAGCACAGAGATACACATTCATTTATATATTCATTGTCAGGCCCCTGGGTCTCCTTAAAAGATTCTTTGTAGCCCACATGGTGCAACAGTTTTCATACGGCCTTAGTGGTTATGGTCTTCTTTCCTGTTTAATCCTTAATGGTAAGTATATTTAGCTATTTGGGTTATTGCTCAAATAGCATCACCTGCATTGAAAGATCTGCCCACCCTTTTACGGTATGAGGGATTTTTTCCCAGGCTGCCACACGTGGCACAGTTAAAATGGCATAGAATTCTATTTCCTAGAGTACCAGCCAGTTGCATGGGTTTCAAAGAGCTTACGATTTTTGTCCTTTTATTGTTTGGGGAATCAACTTAAAAATTCACCAATCACTGATTTGTAAAATTCTTCTTAGTTGCTATAACCCTACCTCCCAAGTCTGATTGAAAAGGGAACCAATTTATCACCAGAATTGATATCCATCCTGACACAAATGACAGGGAAGTAATATTCTCTGTCACTGAGGTCATCCAGCCTCATCAAAGACATTGCACAGCCATCTTTGACATTGCTAGGATGGTCTGCAGAGCAACACTGATATTTTTAAGTGTCCTAGTGTGATCCAGGCTGCAAAGCATTCGCTCAGGGAGTCCTGCTTTGGCACAGGGAGCCAGGCCTCAAGGGTTCAGGCCCACATGCCCCGGGTCAGGGATAAAGGACTGGCAGGATTTGCTTTTGCTTGCAGTGTGAGACCCACGTCACCAGGTCTGCCAGATTTTCAGGTCTTTCTCTTACACCGCTTTGCGCATCAGTGTTTCTACATCAGAATATCACTTTAGGATTTTCAAAGGGGGTTCTATCACTTTTAAGTACGGAATTCCTGTCATTCAGAGGTGTTTGTTATTTTATATGTTGCAAAAAAAAAATCACTCTAGAAGCTCAGACCACCACGTTCAATGAGGAGCCCGCATTGACCTCTGCGATTCAGCAAGGTGAGATAGTCTTTGCCATTCATAATGGGGTCCCAGGACCACAACCTCAGCATCACCTGAGAGCTGGTTAGAAATGCAGACTCTCAGGCCCCGCCTGGACCTGCTAAATCAAAACCTGTGCCGGGAGCCGGTCCATCCTTGCTGTTTCAAGGGACCTGGCATATATGGCATGCTGTTCTTGATATATTTGCTCACCTTCTTGGCACTAAGTGTTTTGACCGGGGTCACCTCTCCGAGAAAGGTTGTTTCCCCAGGTAGAGATTTTCCCCTGAAGTTAGGGAGGGAATAGAGCCCCTTGGCTAGGTGCCAGGCGGGTAATTAATCTCTTTAACTACGAACAATCATGCTTAAGCTACATAATCTTTACTCCCTGGA